GAGTTATGAATATTTGTATTAATTTTTTTTTTTTTTTTTGGGAGTGATGCCTAAATTGATATTATCAAATTGAATAATTCAATGTATATATATACGACAGTGCCATAGCTAAATGTGTTAGTTGACGTCTAAAGGTGTGTTTTGCTCCGCTCACCGTTCCCTCACAGCGGACAGAGCTGCAGGTGCTGATCTCTCTCTCTCTCGCGTCCGGTTATACTTCACTCGTGTTTATGTCCAAATCCATCAGATCTAGCTAGTTCTAGCCAATGATATGGCTGCTGCCCCTCCCTACACGCATATCACGCAGACTCAAACCTCATCTTAGGCCCAAATGTGGCGCAAATGCGCGCCGCAGCCGTTGCGAGGTTCCGGCGCTAACAGTTCATGAGCGTGCTCCCCCGCCCCCTGTCAACACTTGCGACACATGGCCAGCCTAAACAACAATAAGCGCTGCTTGGCAACCGTGTGTGGCGGCAAAGTACATAGACATTTTGACTGGAGAGATTTAGTTTTTCCGGTATTCAACATATTTTACCAGTCATAGTCCGGTAATTATTTACACTCTAAGAAGAGTCCTACACAACAGACATGGCGTTAAAAAGGAGTAATGTGTGGAAATATTTCGACCAGGTTAGTGAGTGCGGTGTAGAGATCAAACTATGCCAAATTAAACTTATATATACATGCTATACCTTGCTATACCCGCAACCTCCGCACATGAAAGCTGTCAAACTGTGATCACCAGTTCAATACATTTGACAAATTCTCTTCTCTCCTTGCTCTCCTTCACCACACCAGGACAGACTGCGCATGCTCACAACACATGACCTCTCAACCCAATGCTTACACTAGTAACCTGGCATTTCGATGCCTTTTCTCATCTAAACTATTCAGTATTTGTATCTCTCTATCATGACATAAAGACGAAACTCCTCTCCAGAAGTGAGACACCGCCGCTATCACTGTTAACTGATTAACTGCTACCAGCTGATGACTTACTTTCCTCTTCCTTGACATTTTTGTTCTTATGTCCATGTTGTCTGGGGGAGAAAACATATCAAACCAAGAGATCGTCAGCTTTGATTTTCGCTGTATTAACCATTTACTGAACATTTGGTGTGTGTGCCTTACCTCCGCTACCGGCATCGCTTCATACAACAGATCTGGGGCCTCATTTATAACGCCGTGCGTAGGATTCACGTGGGAAGGTTGCTTACGTAGTAGAAATCCAAAAAATAGGTACAGAAATGTTCCGACATTTTCCGATTCACCAAACATTGCGCACCGGCGAGGAAAGTGCGTACAGCACTTCATACGCCGGTTTCCCTTTATAAATCACAACCGACTCGAAATGCGGTTCAGCTTTTGCGGGCTTCACGTAACTCCCATATTTGCCTATAAATAGTCAAAGAAACGCCCATTCATTCATTCGGACTGACTTTATGAAGAAGATCGCAGGAAATGACGACAGAACAGTTAAAAAAGACATCTCACACCGTGTCAGATTTTGGTTATTTTGGGGAGGTGGAGATAAATCATATTGTTTGGTGGATGCCGTTTGATCCAGAGTAGCAGCATGGAGGTCGGATCGTCACCAAAATAAATAAATAAATGGCCCGAAAAAGGTTAATGACAAAAACAATACACATCCTTCCTCAGGCAGTGTGTTTGTACCGGGGACAGGAGACACCCCCTTGATGAGAGACTGTAAGAAGTGAACGGGGAATCCCTCCGGAGTGGAGTCATGACGACTGGATCTGAATTATGTTTTTGTATTTGGTGGTTTGTGTTCCAGCTGTCGATCAGCTGTGCGCAGCCTCTCCACTGCAGCCTGTGCGTCTCAACCCCCCCCGCAGCAACCCTATATCCACCAGTTAAAGGAAATACAACTAATGTGTTATATCAGCTGTACAATTTACCACATATGGTGTTCTTAGCTTCCATACCTCCTGTGTTTTACGAGCGACTTATCAAGTCTTGGCAAACGGCATAAAACACGATTAAACATGACAGTATATAAAACCATGCTCGTATCTACAACCTATAGAAATGCAAAACGGCGTCAGTTTAGACGTAATTCTGTCCTCCTGCTTACCGCATCATTTATGAGAAAACATTTCATAACATTAACACAACATATTCGAGGTGGTTTTCAATAACATATCTGTATTTATTTATTTCTCCAAGTTATGTTTTTGTGTGCACTGAGGAGTCGCAAACAGGCGTTTGTTTAATCATTTTAAGATTGGCTTTAATCAATGTTTGAAAATGAATTCTTCATATATGATAAATGAGAGGTAACATTTTGTTTATGGTATTATTTCCACATATTTCTCTCCATTCTTCCTTCTGCCAACGCGGTGTCGCAGTTTCTCGTCTCTCCCGTTGTTGTGCTTAGTGCGTACGCATGGGTTAGAGTTTGCGTGGAGGACCGCACATTTTCCCGTCAAGTTAGTATTTTATAAATCGCAAACATTGCTTAGAAACTGGCGTACGCCATCTTTTGAGCGTATATCCCTTTATAAATGAGGCCCCTGAGCTGTCCAACTATGACAACACTCCTTGAACATGCGCGCGCTATGGGAGAATCTGCCTTGGTACAAAGTAGCAGTGAAAACATGGTACGGAGTTTCATTGATTTGGGCATTCTCTCAATAAGCAAGTGGAATGGATTTGATACTGAAGCACTGACACAGCGCTCTACAAAGTGCGGCGAGTGGTTAGACCGATTCACGGACTTTCCACATGGTAAAAGTGGGGGGGTCTAAACTAATAATTTCAAAAAGTGGGGGGGACTTGTCCCACCCTCATATAATGGCTGCGACGCCCATGTGTCAAAATGAAAGACAGCCCACACACCTATCAATCATCAAACCGTGGGGTCTTATTTCATTACGTGTTGATTTCTATCAACACGTAATGTTGTATCGATGTATATAGAGATGTACTACCGCAAAAGTATTCTCCGTCAGGACTTCCTGCAACAACACCACGCCCTTATCTTGATTCTGATTGGCCAGAAGACATTATCAAAGATGTTCTATTGAGAAGACGATCACTACGTGACAAAAGTTTTCAAAACCGTTTCTGGTCTTCGGTATTTCCAGAGAAGTGGCTACTGAAATCAATCTTACTAACTGCTGTCTGTGCAATTTACTCCGCGCGAGTTGGTGGACTTTATTTTGCTTACTTTAACATCATTTTTCATGGTGGGGCTAAGCCAGTGTTTCTCAAAGTGGGGGGCGCGACCCCCCCTGGGGGCGCAGAGGCATGCCGGGGGGGGCGCGAGAGACCAGGAGGAAAAATGGTTATACAATTTTTTTTTCTCCAAAAGATAAAAAAAAAGAAAAAAAGAATCAATCATAATTTGAAAGATTATTGATTCGAAAATAATATGATGCAGTACAGTACTATTACGTCTGGGTCTCTGTGTTTCATTAAAGCTCGGCTCTGTGTGTGTGTGTGTGTGGAACGAGCCATTGTGTGTGCGCGCGCGAGAGAGAGAGAGAGAGAGAGAGAGAGAGCGCACCGGTAATCGTTGTAATTAGCTTCTGGTGCTAGCGAGCTACGCTAACGGATGTAAGGAGTTTTTTCAACAACAAAGTGGAGGAGAATCCTCTCCTGTCAGACTGAGAGGCTCGGTGAAATAAAGGACTCTCAGTGTTATCTCAGTGGGTCTCAAATGTTTTGGTCACCATTAATGTAAACAATCATTTCCGAGGCACACATTTATATGATCATTATAAAAAAAATAAGAGAATAAATTAAAAACAGGTATGAAATACTATATGACAGTAAAACAAAAATAAAGTTTAAAAGGGTGATTTGTAAAATATCCATAAAGAAAAAGTAAATCTGTTTACAGTTCTGTTTCAAATGGGTGAGAGATGTATCCATAGATCTCTTCATTTTGCTCTCAAAGTGCACCAGATTGATGCATTTAACTTCAATATTTAAAAAAATCTTCCCGGGGGGGGGGGGGGGGGGGGGCTTGCCCCCGGACCCCCCTATGTGAGGTCCACACACCACCTAAAAATAACACTTTACCCCTGCTTACATCTATATGCCGTGAGCTGATTATCGAGCCTTCATTGTAACAGTCGCGGGTACACTGTGTGTGCGTGGGGATTGTTGCAGTATACAATTCCACTGTAGCGCCCGGTACATTAATGGGAAACCCTAAATGTTTGAGCACCCTCTATGAAACGTCAAGCTACCCCACAGCACCCCCAAAATAAATCTCTGGCGCCGCCACTGAGCCTGACTATTTGTGTTGGGGGGGTCCGACTTTTTTTTTTCTCCAAAGGGGGGGCCTGACAGAAAAAGTTTGAGAACCACTGGGCTAAGCCATTTCTTGGCATGGCTGTAGCCTATACCCCAGGCCCAGCCATACCCTGGCGCCGCCACTCGTGGTTACAATTCATATAATGAGTCTAACAATCAGCTTACGTATACCAGAAATCAGCGTTTTAAATATACTTTTGTGACACCTCCATTTTGAGGCAAGTATACCAGTTATTATTAATGGCAAATTAAAAACACTGACCCATTACTTTTAACGTTAGCAAGTTACCCGTTAGTTTTGTATTGTCTGTTCAGAGTTAATATGATGTGTATTTCGTTGTTCAGGCTTCATGGTCCATAAATACATTATTATACAATATTAAATATCTGGGAGAGTTTACCTTCTCCTTGATGTTTGAAGAGTTGACTGTAGTTTTCAGATCCGCCACTCTACTTCACTATGCACAGCAAACTGTAACCGGATTTAACCTTCAAAATAAAGGTTATTCTTGGAAAGTCAATCATGAGCGTACATTACCTATTTTCGTTTTATTAAATTGTATTCTATTGACAGGGTTTAAACGACGCCAAATCAAACTTTTCAATGAATAAAATGATTACAAGTGGCATCACCGCACACCGCCATAAACTGTTATCAAAAATATGTTACGGGGTTAGTGCTTGTTTTATTTTGAAAAGTTAAACCGGAATACGACCGTTTGCCTCCTCTACCTCGCGTCATGTAGCCGCCATTTTTGAGCTACAAATAATACAAAACAAATACTATTTGGGTTTTGCGAAGAAATAACCAAAGTGTAACAATCAGCTTACGTATACCAGAAATCCGCGTTTTAAATATACCTTTGCGACTCCTTCCTTTTAAGGCAAGTATACCGAGTAGTAATGATACATAAGGTAAACACAACATTGTTATGAGAGCTAACTGATAAACAGTAACGTTACTTTCACGTTAGCTAGTTAACCGTTAGCTTTCTCTTGTCTGTTCAGAGTTCATAAGATGTATACGTCTGTATAAGATGTTCAGGCTTCAGGGTCTATGATAACATTATTATAAATGATTAAATATCGGAGCAGAGTTTACCTTGTTCCTTTGTAGTGTTGACTAGCGGATGTGGAAATAGCTCTTAATGCTAGCATCAACTTCCCCCGGAACAAACATCACTTAACTGGGTGTCAAACTGTATTTTTATATTGTTAAATGTCCGTTCGTGTATGTCTTTGTTTTATCAACTGAGCCTATTGATTCGCATTGTTTTAGCTTGTCCACATTATTACTATAAAGCGTGTGGAGCGGAGTCAAGCTTTTGATTTATGTGTTATAAAGTTATAACGTTAAACATTTTCATACGAGTTGTTTAAAATGCATGTATGAGCATTTACAAGGTAGTGGCGTAAAGTAACATTTACTCAAGTACAAAATGGTGATACTTATTAGGCCTATGCTACTTAATACTTTTACTCACTACATTTAGTTACTAGTGACTTTGCAGATTTAGGTTATTAATACAAACTATTGAATCGACAAACGTTATTATATATTATTAAATTAAATATTATTAATAAATGTTTTCATATGTCTATTTATCTAACCTCGAAAAGACCCAGTAAGGAGGTGTTTACAATGATGCCTATATGTCAATGCATGCAAACAAAAAAGTTAACAAAAACAACAATGTATGATAGCTAAAAGCCTAAATATATATTGATAAAAAGGCAATAGAGTAGATAGTAAAATAGAGGTATTTAAAATTACAAATAAGTCTACCAATGGTCAAAAACTAAAAATATCTTTCAACTCCATTGCTATTAAAATGTGGCGAAGCATCACATTTTGATGTTTTAAAGCTGGACAAAGAAATGATAGGTATTTATGCTATAAATTAGCTATATTATTAATTAAAAATGGTCTTCAAAATTGTTTCTGCATAACTTCTTAGCACCACAAAATCGTTCATCGTTGAACTCCAGGAAGATATTGAACATTTCTGAAGTTACTGTAAAATAGATGGATGGATGGATAGATGGATAGATGGATGGATGGATGGATGGATAGATGGATGGATGGATAGATGGATAGATGGATAGATAGATGGATGGATAGATGGATAGATGGATGGATGGATAGATGGATAGATGGATGGATGGATAGACAGACAGACAGGATAGACGGACGGACAGATAGATAGATATATAGATAGATACTTTATTGATCCCAATTTGGGAAATGTTTGCGTAGCAGCAGCATAAAAAACACAAGGCAATGTAAGAGAAATTAAGACACAAGAAATAAACAGTCCAAAATATTTCAGAAATAGAAATAAAATAGCATTAAAAAGTTATAAAATAAAAAATATATATACATGTGGAAAATATAAGTCATAATGATTTTCTGATGTGTAAAACATTGGTTATCCATACAACCAACCCGTATATTTTTGATATAGTAATTTCCAACAATGGAAACAAAACACATAAAGTACAGTTATCATTATGTGCTATAAACACACATTTCTTCCTGCCTGATCTGTGTTTCTCTCTGGCTGTCAGCAGATGTCGCTGGTGGGTCTCGGGCAGCAGCTGCTGGAGGCGGTGAGAGGCGGACAGGATAATGATGTTAAAGCTCTGATGGCCAACGGAGCTCCATTCACCACAGACTGGGTGAGGCTGATATGCGTTTATTATGGAATAATCTTCAAGCTAATCCGTTATGAGATGAGTGTCAAACCTCATCATCTGCCAGAAAAAAAACAGATACTCAGCTCATAATATCCATGGTCACCACACAGTGGCAAAATGACAGTTGAGGCTTGAGCTCAAAAGACTGGGAAAGTCAAGAAAAATGTATGGTAAAGGAAATAATAACACTCAGCTAGTCTTAGATTTCTATCTTTAAATTAAACTGTTTATCACATATAATCTTTGCCTTTCTCTGTTAAAAAAAACAATCTAAGTTGCAGGTTTGTACTGGGTTTCTGTCAAATGGTTAAATCTAAATAACAAGGCCATAAGTGCACACTTTAAAGGTCTCATATTATACTGTTTTTCATCAATATATTATAGGTTATATACAGAGCCTGTCTCTAATTGGTTGATGTAGAAGAGACATGAAGAAGAGGGGACACATGTTGATGTAGAAGAGACATGAAGAAGAGGGGACACATGTTGATGTAGAAGAGACATGAAGAAGAGGGGACACATGTTGATGTAGAAGAGACATGAAGAAGAGGGGACACATGTTGATGTAGAAGAGACATGAAGAAGAGGGGACACATGTTGATGTAGAGGAGACATGAAGAAGAGGGGACACATGTTGATGTAGAAGAGACATGAAAGAAGAGGGGACACATGTTGAATGTAGAAGAGACATGAAGAAGAGGGGACACATGTTGATGTAGAAGAGACATGAAGAAGAGGGGACACATGTTGATGTAGAGGAGACATGAAGAAGAGGGGACACATGTTGATGTAGAAGAGACATGAAGAAGAGGGGACACATGTTGATGTAGAAGAGACATGAAGAACGAGGGACACATGTTGATGTAGAAGAGACATGGAGAAGAGGGGACACATGTTGATGTAGAAGAGACATGAAGAAGAGGGGACACATGTTGATGTAGAAGAGACATGGAGAAGAGGGGACACATGTTGATGTAGAAGAGACATGAAGAAGAGGGGACACATGTTGATGTAGAAGAGACATGGAGAAGAGGGGACACATGTTGATGTAGAAGAGACATGAAGAAGAGGGGACACATGTTGATGTAGAGGAGACATGACGAAGGAGTGGGACACATGTTGATGTAAGAAGAGACATGACGAAGAGGGACACAATGTTGATGTAGAAGAGACATGACGAAGAGGGGACACATGTTGATGTAAGAAGAGACATGACGAAGAGGGGGACACATGTTGATGTAGAAGAGACATGAAGAAGAGGGGACACATGTTGATGTAGAAGAGAGACATGACGAAGAGAGGGGACACATGTTGATGTAGAAGAGACATGAAGAAGAGGGGACACATGTTGATGTAGAAGAGACATGACGAAGAGGGGACACATGTTGATGTAGAAGAGACATGAAGAAGAGGGGACACCATGTTGATGTAGAAGAGACATGAAGAAGAGGGGACACATGTGATGTAGAAGAGACATGGAGAAGAGGGGACACATGTTGATGTAGAAGAGACATGAAGAAGAGGGGACACATGTTGATGTAGAGGAGACATGACGAAGAGGGGACACATGTTGATGTAGAAGAGACATGACGAAGAGGGGACACATGTTGATGTAGAAGAGACATGACGAAGAGGGGACACATGTTGATGTAGAGGAGACATGACGAAGAGGGGACACATGTTGATGTAGAAGAGACATGACGAAGAGGGGACACATGTTGATGTAGAAGAGACATGAAGAAGAGGGGGACACATGTTGATGTAGAAGAGACATGAAGAAGAGGGGACACATGTTGATGTAGAAGAGACATGAAGAAGAGGGGACACTGTTGATGTCGAAGAGACATGACGAAAGAAGGGGGACACATGTTGATGTAGAAGAGACATGAAGAAGAGGGGAACACATGTTGATGTAGAAGAGACATGAAGAAGAGGGGACACATGTTGATGTAGAAGAGACATGAAGAAGAGGGGACACATGTTGATGTAGAAGAGACATGAAGAAGAGGGGACACATGTTGATGTTAGAAGAGACATGTTGATGTAGAAGAGACATGAAGAAGAGGGGACACATGTTGATGTAGAAGAGACATGAAGAAGAGGGGACACATGTTGATGTAGCAGAGAGACCTTTAAAGTAACAACTCGCTTCATGCCTGTGAAACCTATGGTACTATTTCTCAGGGCTGAAGCTAACTGATTAGTCTTTTCACTCTTTCGGGGACAACATGTCAGAAAATATTCTCAACTTTCTAAAACTTTTAAATATTTCAAAACGCCACAGGCACTTCTTCTGACTTTTATGATCCCATCTCTACATTATGTCATTTTATAATAAACTGCTCGCATGCAATGTGTACATCACTAATGCCTTTAATTGAATGTTGTGTTCCATAACGCCACCTGTTTCTACCAAACATTAACATATTTAAGAGTGTCATTTATCTGTCATAGCGTGACACATTTGACAAAATGCACATTGAAGAGTGTTAGGACAAGTTATTCAGTGGATTTATGATAGCTCACATGATGTCTTCATTTTAAAGTTAGTAGAGGAAGGGGTGCTTTCTCTTATTGAATGTTTTAGAATGACAACATCATACATAACTTATATGTAATATAAAATCACCCATAAATAAAATGAAGCAGATTTGTCACACTATTTTACTAAGTCAATCTGACGTTTGAACATAACAGATGTTCATTGAGATTTGTGTGTCAGCGGTGGTGGATTAGCTTTCTGAGGCGATGCACAGCGAGACCTTCAAGCCTTTGACAAACTCCTACTTTAAAATAGACACAAAGCACTTTGAATTGCCTTGTGTTGAAAAGTGCTATATAAATAAACTTGCCTTAAAGGTGGGGTAGGTAAGTTTGAGAAACCGGCTCGAGATACACTTTGTGTTATATTCCATGGAATGCTCTTAACATCCCGATAGCAATGAATATTTTAAGTGCTTTGACAAAAAATACATTAAAAACATGTCATCAGTGGAAGCCGTGGCGCTGTAAAAAGCACGACCAATCATCTGAGCCGGCCGGCTAAAGTAACTGGATGGCCTATCTGCCTGTCAGCCTTCCATCTTGGCACAAACTTATCTCGTGCCCTCATTGGTCATGTGCGCGTTCGTGTGTGTTGGAGGAGGGGCTCTGTGAGGAAGTGGCAGATTTGTTCCGGCTGTGTATTTTCAAATTCTAGCGCACTCGAGCTGGTTTCTCCAAAATGACCTACCCCACCTTTAAGTGTAAAATCATGTGATACGTTTTCTTAGTTGGCAGTTTGTGTTCAGTTAATCCGACCTGTCATGAGCACTGCATTCGAGCAGACAAGGAGATGTATTGAATCGGTGTCTTTATCACTTTTTCAACCACTTATTTCTTTACTTGCTTTAGTCATGTCACATCATGACGAGTATGACTTTGCACATTTGTCACATTTACTCCGTGTCCACACTAGTCTATAGTGTATTCATATTTCTACTATTGTCTAGTGTCTATATGATACTGTTTATATTTCTACTACTACTATATTCAATATGTACTGCTCTTAGTGTGTCTACCTATGAATAATGTTCATACTCTATTCTAATGACTCAGGTTGTGAAAGCGTCATTTGTGCTTTACGAAGTCTGAGAAAACGACTTCAAAGGACTCAGTTGAGTTATCCAGAATTGCGTTTATACTACAGATCATTAACAAAAAGACTGTAGGTGTTAAATAAATGTCTGCTCTGATTGGTAAGCGGGCCGGCTATCATGTGATTGTAAAAACAGCTATCGAGGCATGAAGGGAGCATTTCCCGTACAAGGACACATCTCCAATACCTTGCCTAAAGGGGGGGGGGGGCTTGATCGTTTCATTTCTGTTGTGACTTCCTGTAAATGTGCCTTAAGTAGGGGGAGGGGGGGGGGGCTATGTTAGTGTGAGTTCCCAGGTGGTAATGGCCCACTGATTGCTAATGCGTAAGAAAACAGCTATCGTGGTTTGAAGTGAGTATTTCCCGTACAAAGGACACATTTTCAGGTTAAAGGGGCTGGTTTCATTTCTGTTGTGACTTCCTGTAAATGTGCCTTAAGTAGTAGTGGGGGGAGGGCTATGTTAGTGTGAGTTCCCAGGTGGTAATGGCCTACTGATTGCTAATGAGGTCTCAGTACAGCTAATGCACACAGCTAACTAAGTGTCGCCGACGGTAAAACATTCCAAGCTACGACTTGATGTACGGTGTTCTGGGCCAGCGCCAGTCATCCTCTCACAAATCATGTACACGTCCGGGCTAACGGCCATTCCTAACTGTTTACGATGCATCACATCTCCCCTTCCCCGCTCCTAATGTAGGCACTTTGTGTAACCAGTTGCAAATACACCTCTTTTGTGTGCTGTGATAAGCGCTGCATGTTAATGTCTGTCTCAGGCACTTTCTTTTGAACCTGCACCTTCACAACAGCCATGACAATTAGTTTTATTGAACATGCTTTTAAACCTCCTAACTGCACACAGGTTTTGCGACATCTAAATAAGTACTCTTTATTAGTTTGTAGTGAATTACTCTCTCTTCATGTACCCTGAGAAACATTTATTATCAAATGGATATTATTGTCAAGGTGTCTTATCACATTCGTCGTCCAACTGTTATTCATATCAAACACACTTATGTATGGAGTATTTGGGGCAGATTTAGTTTTTTAATGAACTACATACTATTTTCAAATGTCAACATATTGAGTTTACAACCCATCTTTTCTTTCTTTTTTTAAACAAAGAAACATTACATTTGATTCAAGTCAATTTGCAGAATAGACGAAAGACAACAAAACGTATCCACTGAAGCTGCAAAATGACCCCAGACAGATACTGAATTGCTACAGAGAGACTCAACATAACTTCAATTCATTTTAATAAGATGCTAAACAATCACCGAGCTGGAAAAGTGACTACAACAACCACAGCATTATCACATGAAGTGGGAGATGTTTAAAAATAGA